TCGACTTACAGTCGTATACGCCAAGAACTTTTACACGCGTGTCCACATTGCAACTGTTACTTACACGGGCCGAGAAACCCCGATGTGAGTACTACCACTTTCAAATGTTGATGTAAGTTTGAGCAATTTCCAGTTTAAGTGTGTGAAACGTTAGTTATTTGTTACAGATTATCATTGATAGTCGCGTATGCGCGTATCCGGTACAATAAAGCTGTTTCCGTTTTATTAGGCGAACAATCAAACCAGCATTCCGTCCGGGTTATAAAATCCGTCATGTCACGCCTGTCAATCTTATACAGACAAGGGAAAAATAGTGTGGGCAAAATGGTACCGGTTTTTACTATGTGTATAAAATGTATATATATACATATGTGTTTCCATAGGCGAGTAAGAATACTTATACAAATAAATAGAGTTTGATAGATAGTGAATAGAATATCGATAAAAAATATAAAATCTCTCTAGCGTAGTAGCCTGTTGTCAAGGGCGTGTTTTGGGATGAAGAGACGCAGTGGATCGATGAAGGAAAAATGATGGTCGGTCAAACCCCGTAAGCGAACAAGCGCGGGGTTGGGGGTGGGGGCAGGTAATGAACAAAGGATAAAGTGTGGAGTAAAAGGTGTTGAGGGAAAGGGAAGGAGGTGTAAGAGGCGGTGACTGACAGTATACAGAGTCATCAAACGGGAGAACAGTCTGTTGCATTCATGTTCAACGTGTGCCTCGGTTCCAAATACCCGTCACATCGCATTTCCACGTAACCCTAGAAATAAGAAGACAAACGATGGACGGTGGTGTGAGTGTTAGTTTTCAGAAGGTTCTTTTGTATCAGTTGCATGTATGAAAAACAAAAATAACTGCTTCATGTACATATGTGAAAGACTATAGGTTTCACACAAGCCTTCCCTGTATCATTAAAACAGGCCCGTCCTAACCCACCAAAAGCTAAGTTATGTGAAGTATGAGAAGTGCAGTTGCTATCGGACACGAGAGCGCACTTTATCGAATGGATTTCTGGACCCAGACAGCTGAATGTTACCAGAATATTGAGTCCTTGAATTCATAATTTTTTCAGTTTATAATTGAAATGCGATATCCCGCACGGTGACTGAGGGTGAATCAATTCAGTGGTTAACAGTCCAGTCAGTCACATAAACAACAAAATTAATAATTGTCTAGATGAGCAGTGCGCTATAGCAATCGGCACTCCGAATAGGCGCGCTGCATGAGGTACCGGAAGCAGAGTGGTTCAGAGAGAACGCCATTTGGGAAGACAGCCTGGTTGTTGAAATTTCAAAGCTCAATTGTATAACGAAAACGACTGTAACTCCATTGTGGTGTGAGAGAACAAGCGTTATGAACATGGCTGAATGGTCTGTTGCACAATCCTCAATGACCTAATTGCTCCAAGTTATTCACAATGGAGACAAACAGTGAATTCACGGGAGCGGGCACATACTGTGATCTACGAACCGACCACATGACGATAACTCAACTCGATAAAGAGCATTGAGAATTTGTCACTGAGTGGCACCACCAAAACTATTCGACCCATCTTGAGGTCCCTGGAGTAGAACAGTGACAGAGACGGCTTTCTCTCGTGGCCAATCCGATCCGCGGATGTCATGATTATCTCCACGAAAAGTGGCTTTTTGTTGCAAAGGGATTGCTGGCCAGGTAAAAACTCCACCTCAAACAATGCCTCTTGTCGTCGGTAAAGAAACGATCACCTATTCGCTTTGAACCACGTAAGTGGCCGTTCTCCGATCCGTGACCTGGAGAAGCGCCCAGTTTTGTACAGGTTCGCTAGCCGTAGACTTGAATTCAACACGTTTGAACATTCGCCCATAGGTGCGTTCCTCATTGCCAAGGAATCAAAATATTACTCACTTTAGAGACATTCTCCGACACATAGAAATTGGAACAAGTACCGTTTTCGTGTACACTGTCGGCTCACAGTAGAGGCCAGACGTTAAGACTGCCTCGCAAGTTTGACCAGCGTGTACGCTTAATGTGGCGCATTGCACACTGTATGGCTCAAATAATAGACAAACCAAACAAAATCATCGACAGTTCGCGATCCGTTGAGAACGTATAATGCTTGTGGCAACAAAGACGAGCTACCCGCCTGCGAACATTTTTNTGGTCCCACGATACCAAGATGGCTGTATTATTGCTCCTATTTTTACTGTGAGAGAACTTAAATCGAGAAACGAAGAGAAAGCCCCTCAGATATTGAATATTTTAGGTCGAATTTTTGCGTGCTAATCTGCGTGGTGAAAAAAAACAAAGATAACGTCTGCTGAGTGTGTGTGCATGCGTTCGTAAAGGCTTCGTATTTATTCAGGAAGTGACGGATTGGTGGAAGGGCGAGTGTACATAACAAATACTAAACACTCGTGTATCCTAACTCAAAGGAAAACCGTGCTACGTGTATTTCCGGATTGCGCATAATGTTCGCGTTCCCATTTCAACACCGTTGTCTTTGTGCGCATACATACTACGCGTGTAGTAGATGAATAAATCCCACTGTCTAGGATATAGTCACATTACTGAGCCTCCCTAACCTAATTAAAAAATGGACCTCAGGGTATGCAAAAGCAGACAGGTCCGGGGGAGAATGAATGTGTGACTATTAATAAATAATTGAGTGCCGGAGACAGCAGGAAATGCCTGTATCACCTCCTCTCCACATATGATCCCCGATGATACGATTCCTTTGAAGATAACGTGATCAAATGGAGATAACACTATGCATCTCGGTTTTGTGGTAAGCCTGACCAAGCTTTAGGTTTTTCTTGTCCATATTAGGAACAAATGATCTTTGATCTAACCAGTGGAAGAGTACTGACTGTCAATTAACCGGTTCGAAGCACTGAAAGGTAGAAAGGCCTGATAAGAATACTGCACCTGTTTGGTTATTCTCAGGTGTGTAGCAAGTATATCCATAGAAAAGTCGTACTTAAGCAATAGCTGGTAGAGACGGATAGATGAGACCTGTACCCAGGAGGACCCGTATCCCTGGATATTGTACAAAGAGCTATACTTGGCTCTTATGGTAATTGAACATCAGCGTAAACTACACACTTCTGGGGGTAATGTGAATGAGGTAAATATTTTCGTCATACCAGGTGGGAGATTAAGTGATTTTGGCCGTTGTAATATGTGCTCCAAGAGAAGGGCTAGGAATGCAGCAAACGTAGCTGAATAACTGACGGAGACTGGATAACCTCCGGAAAGTAGACACAATAGGATTTGCGCAAACGAAGGCTGGTGGTGTTAGTTTTTTCCTCTCAGCACCAGTCACCTTGTTCACACGTCTGGTGAAACTAAAATCAACACGCACGAATGAACACACGCACAGCTACGCGTATCATGCTTACCGTGGCAGAACAGGAAACAATGTTGCATTTTGTTGACAGGTGACAACCTCAGCCAAACTATTATTCCAGCTCTGTCCTTCTCGTTCGCCCCCCCCCTCCCAACTACCAATCTCCGTTCACTTATGCATCAATGATCAGATAGATCCGTAGTACACAGCAGCAGCGGTAACAGTACTAATGAAAAATTACGGTATCCCTCTCCATTCCTTATCCCATGGGGCTATGAAATTGCAGACTATGAAAAATGGAGACTACAGCAGCACCGGAACAGACTACAATCACACTGTTGATGATAAAGTGGAGAAAATCATAGGATCACAATACATGGGCGTGGTTCAGTGTACCATGAGGAGGAAAGTTAAAAAAGGCAGTAGCGGCGATTGAGATAACGAGAAAGCATAACAAAATGTGACGGAGTTGTGCGAGAAAATAAATGACAGAACCATGTCATCACCGTATGAGGTTTCAACAGTGAGTACAATCAAAAATACTCAATCAATCATTCAGTTCACCGATTTGTCTACCGAGTGAGACAGAAATCACTGCATCTTAGCACTGCACAGATGCACATTACATACATTACATACATACATACATACATACATACATACATACATACATACATACATACATACATACATACATACATACATACATACAT